TGGAATACGGAATTCCACAATTGCAAGTTTTAATCCACCCAAATGAACATTTCACACTTGATTTGAACTCATCGCTTGTACTGTATGATGCTAGAACATTGGTACATCATACTGATACTACTAGATCACTAGATCATCTATTACGTCAAAGATTAGGATTCGATTAATTTCATTTTGATAAGTTAAGTAAGTCTTGTCTCTTGAGGGCGCAATAATAATTAGCTTTGATCTGTTGTTTTAATAATGATTGAGGCATCAATGGAAAAGACTGAAATATGAGATTGTTTTTCTCTGATTTGCAATATTGAGTGCCCCAGGATTCGTTTCATCAATCAATACAAGAGACAAAACAACTTCTAGGAACAAGTTTCTGTCGCTCGTCTCCTTCTTCGGTTCACTCAGGTAAGAACATAGGGTCTCAACCACCTGTAAGTGCTGCATCAAGTTCTGAAGTTATTACCTCCCATTCCACACATGTAAGTCTTACAGGCACCTACAGAACATTGTCGCCAGGAAGTATTGCACTTCCACCCAGCACTGCATCGTCCTCAACCTGCTCCACTACCGTACCACCTCCAAGTCCCATCCTTATTGAAGTTGGGAATAGAAATCCAAACTGGGCATCAACGTTTCAAATTCAATAAGATCTTCTACCCAGAGATATTTTAGTATGTTTAAGGAACAATCAGCGTTTAACAGGAGGTATTAGACTGCGCTTTGTTAGGGTTATTGTTGACCAAGTTCGCCAAATTAACCATCATCCAACAAAGAGACATTTGGGAGACGTTGCCCAAAGACTTGTGGATATGTATCCTGAAAGTCTCCAAATAAAAAAACTGAAAACGTTATTTTTGGGACAGGTGACAACTCACTGATGATGCTATTTGTCAACCGAAATGGCAAGTTAAATAGAAATTGTCGAGACCTTTGTATGTTGCAGACAAGTAGAAGGAAGTCGTCAGGTTCAGACACAGACCAAAGTGAAGGAAGCTCAACTGACAAGCAGAAGAATTGTCCAAAGGATGCATATGGATGTGCAAATTAGTCACATCCAATAACAGATGCTAAATCTGCTGAAAAGGCTAGAGATTATCTTTAACTCATTCACAAAGAGAACCCTGACAGTCGGTCTTGGGATACCATCGAGGGCCTTCTACTCAAATCGTATCCCTTACAGAGAGCAACTATCAATGATGGGAGACCTGTCCCGGTGGTATTTGAGAGGTTTATTAGCAGGAAGGTGACTTTTTAGTTTAAGCTTTTCGCACGAAGGCGAAACAGGGTACCCTTTGGTATTTAGTGTTTTTTTCAGTAACGTTTATGTAAGGGGTTACCGGGGGATTAGCGTAGGGGTGGCGACTAAACTTTGTCCTAATTTCTACGTGAACACACTTCATGGGTCGTTTCATGCTGTCACTGATTCTGTGAACTGTTTTTGGTGAACTGTTATTAATTTACAGTTGATTGGTAATCATAAGAACTGTGAGTTCGTATCAATCGCATAAAACAACAATGTCAACGGTTTTATATTAATATGCCCACACAAGCGTCACCATTACTCGATTTTCTGAGACATGGCGAACGCACAGCTACATTACATGTATCTGCCTAGGGCTGCAGATTGAATTCAGCAACATCCCCGAAATCTAGCAGTTCGTCAACGCTGTGCTGTTTTGCCTTTGATGCCATTAGCTGATGTAAGTATTCATCATGTTTCTATCTAACGTCCAAAAGGCACAAGTTCACCACTAGATCTATCTATGTGCCAGGTTTGGTGCAGAAATAGTGAACGGTGTTTAAGTTCTGCTCCGGAAAAGAACACTACCACCAATCTCAGTGGAAGTTAAACTTCTTGTTGCCATGGAAACGCTAAAACACATTTTATTCAGAAATTCAAAACTACCAAAAGGCACTGGTACACCGCCAGATCTATCTATGTGCCAAGTGAAGTAATAGTGAATGGTTTTAAGGTTCTGCTCCGGAAAAGACGAATGTGCACGGACAGATGTACACACGGGCTGAGTCCATTTTAATACCCCCGCAAAACGCGTTCCGGGGCATAACAATTGTGGAAACAATTTGTAAATATTGATAATACATACTACGTTTTTATACATTGTTGCAGTCTATCAAACTTAATTCATATAATTTCTGTTACAGGTGGAAGACGTGTGGCTACAAGCGCACTTGATGATATTCCCCAAGATCTGTCGTTTTGATTATCCTGGTTGTAACGATTGGCCGGTTTTAATGGCATCCTAACAAGTTCACTGTCCTTTGAATGAGGGTTGTAGATTCTCACAACAAGATCGATAAAAGATTCAAATTTTTCTTCAACACACAAATATTTCCTTCTGGTGCAAAATTCTTCAAAGTATGTTGAATATAGGCTTTTCTTGGTGCCAGACCTGGGTAAGGAGCGTTTTAATGCACCCCAAGTTGACTCGATGGTGTTTGTATGTGCCCCGGTCTCGGGGTCCTTGAAATTTATGGAATGATTTACTTTTAGGTGAGTAGAGTCTTCCTCTTTCAGACAGTCATATGCTTTCCAGCAATCACTAATAATAGTGGTTCCGGGTTTCATGAATTTTAATATCAGTGGAATCAAAGTTTCTGAATTTCTGTGTTCCACACAAGCAAAAAAACACTGTTTTGTGTCCCTGTCAATGCCTCCAAAGACCCACTGTCCCTCTACCCTCTTTCCCCTATTAAATTTCCTCTTTCCAAATTTTGACTCATCTATTTCTACTACGTGTCCCACACCACCTATCTGTTCACTGTCCTCATCAACAATGCAAACACATACTTCCCTGCAAAAGTTGTACCAGTCCACAGATGTACTCCCAGACACAATGTCTAATTCTCTACGCACAAAATCTTGTGGCAATTTATACACCCAACAGTATGTCAACAAAAGTAGTGTTCCCAATTCTAATTTACTGTTTTCAAAGAAAGAATCGTGCCTTATAGAAAATTTCCTACCACAAGTTTTCCTTGAACATTTCCAGCATCTGCCATCTTTCCCGTAAGATTTGTCCATGCACAAATAATATTTTCCAACACCACACTTACTACAAATTTTGCCTTCCCAGTTACCAAAAAGTCCCTTTCTTCTTAAAAAACGTATTAATTCCTCGTGATTTCTTGCTATTTCATAGACATCCCAAATTTTCATTTTGTGTCTGACATAACGCTCGTCCGTAGTGAGCCGAACTTTCCATATTAGGAACGTGTTATTGTATTACGTCATTAGAAATCAACCAATCAAAAAAACACTTACCAGCAGAGTGTTCCCACGCTGTAGAGTTCCTTTTCCAAGCATGCATTTGAATAACATTTCAACACACGATTACTTTTTACTCTGTTTACGTCAGTGAACGCTGTTAAAATCCCCAGTTTAGGTTTCCTAAACAGAAAGTAAGGTGAGGAATTCGATTTTAACCTTATTTTTTTACCTTAAATTCGTATTTTTATTGGATCGCTCGCAGGCTCGCGCTCTCTGTTTCTTCTATATATAGGAGCCTCATGCGCACATTAGAATGTATATAATTAGGTATCCGGTATTCTGTAAGTGTACCTTTGCCTCATACAAGAAGTACTCCAGCGAGAGAAAACTCTCTTTGGAGACATTAAAGGTGTGGAGTGAAGTCCATCCATCGACAGCGTACCGATGGATGGCAAGAAATCACAGACACCCTAAACGCGTAAGTTGTTCAACATCGTTCCATATTCTGTATTTACTGTTCCTCGAGAAAATATCACCAAAGCCCTCACCACTCACTACCATATTTTCCCAACAATGAAAATAATAACAAATTATCTTAGTTTGTAAAGACAATAACATTTCCAAAAACGAAACAATTTCGGCGATCTATGCGAATGTTAATAATTTATGGCTACGGGATGAGTGGTTGATAATTTCTTGGAGAAGCATGTACAATGGGAATTACTCCCAAACCCCGACCACCAGTCAAAAAAACTTATGAATGGTCCCATTTGTTCATGTTGTTAACATTGAGATTATTGATTTATGCCTGGATCAGCTGTTCAAAGCAATGCCTGTATAGCTATGAATTTATTTACTGTTGACAAATGTCATTGTTAAATGAGATGAATATATATTGTGTGACCTGTATTGTGTGAAACTGTAACCTGTTCCCCATACCCCACCCACAAATGTATACTACCCATCAAAAGTTTAGACTCACTAGTGTAAATGTGGAAAACTAGATTTTGCAAAATATACCATACTGTTTAAGGATACTGTTTACACATGAACTGATGTATTGCAAAACAAATCCATAACGTTGAAAAAAAAAATATTGTCATGAGTTTAATAAATGATGAAACTCAGTGAAAATTGGTGAATTCGTAACAAAACTTTACACCAAAATGCAGCTGTTCACATGCAAGATATCTGCACATTCTTTTCAGTAATTTGATGCATGATCCTCATGCAATTCATCTGAATAAGGTTCCCCCAAGTAAGTGGAGAAATTCATCTTCGATGTAACCACTTATATATTTTACACATAACATATTGTGAGTGCTTTAAGTGAGTCTAAACTTTTGATGGGTGGTATATGTAACTGATCATTTGTGTGTGGAGATATCAAATTTGATAATAAAACTTGTATACTTTCAGTAGACACATCAATGCCAAACGAGAGACACTGGAGGTGAAGAAGAAGTATTTTAATCTGAAGCACAGAGGTACTCTTTCACATTTGATGTAAATAGTAGTGGGTTTGTTTTTCATCCATGATTATGTATTAGGTACTTATTATTTAAATACAGAAAATGATTCTTAATCTCTCCACTAAACTCACACATGAACACATGTCAACGTAAGGATCATTGTTTATTATTCAGATATATTCCAAATATAAAATATGTGTATTAAGAAGTGAATTTAACCTGCAATTTGTTTATTGTAGCTAAAGCAAAGATCGACGGCCTCAAAAGGTTAATGGCCGTTACTGGAGGAGGGCCTCCACCATCAGCACTAACAAGTGCAGATGAGGTGCTTTCCCAGTCATTGGAAGGGAGGCCAGGCATTCATGGCCTAGACCATGGCATTGACACTGATGGTAAGGAGTCTTTTTCCATATTTTTAAAGAATGATATCAATTTTGTGCAAACATTCAGATAATACTGCTGCCTGTGGTGAGACTTAAAACCTGGAACCTTTTCATTCTGATGACCAAACAAGGAATAAGAAAAACATTCTTGACTCCACCATCATGGACAAATCAAGTACTGTCCGAGACAAATACAACAAGTACTATTTTTAAGACACAAAGCTTGCTATTCATGTAATCATAGTAAATAATACATTTGTTGTGTATTACATCGATTCCAAAGCATTCAGGTAATGATTAATCTGTGTCAAATAATGTATTTGAAGACAATTACTCAGTCATAACATTTGAAGGTACAGGTATTTGTATGTAACAGTAATAAATTGAAAAATGTTAAAATAGCTGAAAAATACATTTTGCTTTCCTATTTACAACAGATGCTTATGCCTGTGCAGATGAAACTGACACTGCAGCAGAAGGTAAAACAAACATTTTAGGGTCTCTTAATACTATTTACATGTAATATAGTAATATACACATCTCATGTATAACATGAAACATCTGTAGTACTTGCTGGGTTGTTTCCCTTAAATTACATATTTCAAGAGCATAATTCCTAAAATCTCAACTAATAGTATTACCAATAACCTTTATTTTGTGAAAATATCAATTCCATTAATGTGAACAATATAAGTATACTGTCTTGGAAAAAGATAAGTTATCTTTAATTCCTTGAATGTGAAAAATGGTATTAATCTTTTACAGGCCCAGTAGGTGAAGAACCACAAGGTGAAAGGGCAGTGCCTCAACAGGAAAACCATTCAGATGGTACATTTGAAATATTATACTAATATATGTAAAAATAACAAAATATGAACTAATGTGCATATTTCAGTATTGTCAAAGTTATGATTACACAATGCCATTTAGAAAGTGGTCAAATGTAACATATGTTATATGTGGGATTACACTTTCTTAGTAAAGTACAGATTCTAGTACCTTTTGGATTGAGTCCCATCCAGGATTCGAAACCACACCCTCAGAGTCAGGCACCTAATCACCAGCTCACAATGCGGTAGCTGAATGGGTTATGCGGCTGACTTAGTGTGCTGGCGATTAGGTGCCTGACTCTGAGGGTGTGGGTTCGAATCCTGGATGGGACTCAATTGAAAAGATACTAGAATCTGTACTTTACTAAGAAAGTGTAATCCCACACATAACATATGTAACATTGTCAAAGTTGCAGTTTGGTTACCATAATACAAGTGCAATACTAGCAAACAGTAACATATTTGCATGGAATATCATCCCAAGTTGTCATTTTAACAGAACGTATGATAGAACATTGCTAGATAATTGACTTTACACTAAACATATCAAATGTCTGTTTCATTATGCTTACAGAGATAAAAAAAAAGCCGGTAGCAGAGAAGAAATCAAGCTGAGGCAACATATCACAACACAATAGAGGACACTAAAAGGATTAAACTTGAACAAAAGAAGCTGCAAATGGAAATTGAAATGTTAGCAAAAAATCAAAAGAAATTAGATTCCGAAATTCAGTTGCTCCATGTCAGATCAATATACTATCAACTTAAGATGAATGCCGAATTTGGAGTGTCATTGGAACACTGTAAAACTGAAGAATAAATGACATCAAATTTTACTCAAGATCTTGTCTTACATTTTTAAGCAGAAATGTTTGAAATAGGAAAGTAAGAACTATTTCATCAAGAAGATGTAAATTGTAGTATTTCATCAGCCTAACCTTTAATTGAAACAGTATGTGCACCACTCTCCTGGTCCAGATGGTATTGCTGCAGAATTCATCAAGTCTGCTAAGTACCATATTACTTCAGTTCTGTCAGTTGTTTTTAATAACATTTTTGACAGTATTGTATTCCCTCTAAAGGAATAGTGTTACACAATGTCAGCTTTATTCATGTATTTTTAGGGGTGACAATAATTTCTGCAGAGCAATATTACGCGCACAATCAATAAAAGGGATATAATTGTAATGAGGCAATGGTAGTATGATTAATGATTGAAAAATGTCCGAATAATGTGATGTCTCACATCAGCTCCATCATTTTGACCTTTAACTAATGGTACTTAATTGTCATTAGCATTTGGTGTTGGAGGCACAAGATTTTCTTCATTATTAATTATATCACCCCTTTCAATCCCCAGATTGTGTAAGACAACACATGCAACAACATAGGTGACTGCATTCTTAGGCGTGGCCCGAAGCTCATTGTGCAGGCACTGGAACCGCCTTTTCAGAATGCCAAATGTCTGCTCAATGAGCACCCTTGTCCTGCACAAAGAACCATTATATCGCTCCTCAGCACGATTGGTTGGGTTCAGTAAAGGTGTCAGGAGGAACCAACGACATGGGTAGCCTGAGTCCCCCAGTAGAAAGCCAGTGTACTGTCCTTAAACAAAAAAAATTTGAAAACTTGTAAAAGATGACAGCATAATGTATTAAGCGAAAAAAATTGAAAACTTGTAAAAGATGACAGCATAATGTATAAAGCGAAATGTGTAAATATAACATATGTGATATTTATTTCAGATATTAAGAATTGCAATGCTGAAATTATACATATTGTGTGAAATAACACTTTCTGCTGGAATACTTATATTCATCTTGATTAAAGACAATGTATATCATAGTATATCAACTGAAACTCAATTAAGTATCTACTACTTTCAGAACTAATCACTACTTTCACTCTACATATTAACCAATAATAACAATAACATTATTTGTAATATTTTGGCATTATATGTAAAAATACCATCAACTATATCTTGGTTTTACTTGCACAATACCGTTAGGTACATGTTCTGAAATATAGGTTACCATTTTCAAATAGACGGCACAGTGTTGATGTCATGCACTGTCATGCACTGATCCGGGCCAGCTGGCGTTGCAAATGGTGATTTTAAAGTTTGCATCACAGCACATCTGTAGGATTATAACAGAAGAGAAAATCTAATATCATCATTCCAAATGTACATATCAGAAATCACACCCAACACCTACACCATCTTCGAACCAACCCTAAACTCATTGTGTATGTTAAATTATGTTATTCATATCGATAGTTACCTGAACATTTAGGGAATGGTAACCTCGCCGGTTCACGAAGTCTCCCTCGTTTGCAGTCGGCCGCTGTATTCGGATAAAAGTACCGTCGATGCACCCAACGACATTCGGGAATCCTGCAAGTACAATATATCATAGTCTCACAATAGATAGCATATTTTATTTTTCAGTTTTAAAACAGTTTTCATTCGCAATTAAGTCCCAGATTAAAATCATCGCTAAATTCTAAGGGCCGAATTATGGAAACAGGTTTAGACCCAGTTTAAGGTAAATCCCGGTCTAACTGTGAGTTTAAACCCTGACCTGCTATGATGAAAGGTGGTTTGAACTTAATACAAGTCTAAAACAAAGAAGTTAGACCGAGACGTAAATAGTTCATATTATCGAACGTGGTTTAAGTTAGTCCCGAGTTTTCCGTCGCTCCCCGGGAAATCCCGAACACATTTACGAAGTTTGCCGATAACCCAGGTTTAACCCTGCACTGAAGCTGAGTTTTCATTCCAGGACGGTATTACTAAAGCAGGTTTTGCACTAAACCAGGTCTAACCCGCCAAAACTGGTAAAATGCAGACCTGGGTAGGGGCAGGTTTACATGCAGGTTTTATCATGTAACTCCGATCTACCTCTAAAATTAAACGTTGTTTCGTTCAGTTCGAGAGTGTTCCATAGCCATAAGGTACTACAATAACCAAGAAAAAGTATGTAGGCATACATGTATATATCTTGTAATTTTGAATATCCTTTTTGAAAAAAACCCCCAGAACTAAGGCATGTAATTAGGAAGATGATTATATTTCAAGAACAACACTTTTATTTTTGTTGAATCAACTACAACATAACAAGCTCTTTAAAATACGGAACATTGAAGAAATATGTCATCTTACGGAGCAAGCAAAGTCTTTCAAAAATATGCTGTTGTATGGCTAAAAGACATTGCGTAACAATGACATAACCTACATGACGTTATTGCCTTTGTGGCGCAGTGTGGACATGATGCCTTCAAAATAAACAAGCAGTATTAAATGCACTAGTGTGCATACGGTATCTGGGAACATGAGGCAAGTCCATATCTGTGATTTCTTGAGAGAAATGTTGTGCAATTATCATATCTCGTTCCCTTAGGCCGCGACGTCGCAGAACAGCGTCGGTCACATTGTCATTGTCAGTCTCTGGCTCGCTGTCGTCATCGTCGTCGTCACTGTCGTCAAAGTCAGGATCATGTCTAAGTGACGCAACGTTGTGCAGAACTGAACATGTTATGATAACAGTGAATATTGTGTCCAACTTCAATCGAAGGCCAAAAGATAAGCAGGGAAAGCGACGTTTCCAGATGCCGAACAGACGCTCAACAATCCCTCTAGTCTTTCTCTGAGATGTGTTGAAACGTCTTTCTGCTTCCGTGCGAGGATTGTTTACAGGTGTCAGTAAGTACGGTAAACAAGGATACCCGGGATCACCAAGAAGGTAGCCAGGAACTTGACCACGTTCAAATTTCTCACTGATTCTGCTTTCTTGTAAAATGCGCGGGTCATGGGTGCATCCGGGCCATCGTGCGACAATGTTTGTTATCAGTGGGATGTCGTCACATATTACCTGGGTATTTATTGAAGAGAACCTTTTCCTGTTTATGAAACGCATTGCATCATTGCCACTTTGGGTAGAAATAGGAATGTGAGTGCAATCTACTGCCCCTGTAACATTTGGGAAATTAGCTACTGCCGAGAAACCAGCCATGACTCGTCTTGCTCTAGCACCAGTAGGTATTGTAATGAACTGCTGGCGACAGTAAGCCAAAGCTTTACTCACCCTTTGACAACCACGCAAACTGTCCGGTGGACGTCAAGGAGATCACCAAGGGCAATTTGAAAGGTACCTGTAGCATAAAACCTGAGAGCAATTAAACATTGCAACGCAGCAGGTAATGAATTGTTGCGTCTAGTTAAAGGCTCTGAAATCAAACCAATGATGAAGTTAGCGTTCTCCTTGTTGAACCTAAATCGGCGATGAAATTGCCCGTCGTTGTACATGTCAAAAGGATTCAGGCGATCTCTAAAAACACGGTCTCTACGCAGAGCGCGACGGAACGCATGAAGTTGCCGAAGTGCCCGAATGATGTGTCTCGGCATTTCTTACTTTCATACAAAATATTTCATACGAGGTGATGAATACCAGTATCTGTCAAATTGAAGTGACCTTCTGGGAACTATGTCAACCATATCATGTCCAAAACATACCTTGAAACAAAACGTATTCAAGACCTTTGACATTTGATTTTCAGCATCCTCTCCGTCAACCCTAACGTCGACTAATATCTGCTTGATGTTACTGAAGGTGGTCAGCAATTGTCTCAGACTAGAAGGTGTAAAAAATGAGAAGCCTACGTCAGTCAAAAGCAAACTGTGGAGACCTGGTACTCTACTCAGCAGATCTGAGATACCATCAGCAGTAAAGCTAACCACATTTGTAATCTCAAGACTCACAAGAGAATTGTTGTGAGACAAAGCATTGATCAAGTCACCCTGTAAGAACTTTTGGGCCACGGTAGCCAACAATTTTCACAAACTTCAAATTTCTCAAGACTTCCAAAACTTTGATAGAACACAATTGATTTTCAGATACTTTCAATATGCCTAATGTTTTGATTTTGGCAGGGAAGGGGTAATGTCTAAATGTGAAAGGCCAGGGTCGTCCAATATATCAATGGTTTTGATACTTAGCCAGAAGTGGAAACTATCAATGATACTTCTCCATCGTGTACACACAAAACTGATGTTTCGAAAAATGTCACTAAGTTCCAATTCACGAAATATGTTTCCCAAGATTTCGTCTGGCAAATGATCTATAGATGCAATCTGAAATGAAAACAAAATGTGTGGATTTTTCACTCAAAATACAGAATGTCACTGAAATAAAATCTCGACATGCAAGATATGCGATTCGCTAAAAGACCAATCTTTCAGAAATGTTTAGCTGCGATATTTACCAGCTGAACTTTGACATTCTATTTCGTGTCCAGTTTTGTTGAGTACACTAATCACAGTCAATGGTGGGGTAAAATGACCTTTTCTACATAAGAGATTCGTCCCTGATTTGTGTCAATAAAATATATTTTCCACTGTTACTGGTGGAAAGAAAAATACGAGGCATATGAATAACATCGAAACAGGTCTGAACTGCATAACGGAACATAGATTCAGAAATCTACACTTGCAGAACAATGGACAACGTAAAGTTCTCCATTAATGATCTACAGTTCAGTGTATGAACGATCGCCAACCCACACGACATTGTGGGTGCAAAGTTGATTTTCTGCATGTGTTTTCTGCAGTTACAGAATTTCTATCTTTAGGTTGTGTTCTTCCTTCATGTACTTCAACTTTAGTTCGTGTTCTTCTCGTGCGAGCTGCAGAAGGGTTGTCTCGGGTGTCGCATCTCTAGCTGAACCGGTCGATTGTCTCTTTCTCTTTGTAAGAATGGGGAGTTTATCATAATGACACTGACTTACGCTGATGTCATCGTCGCAGTAGTCAACATTTGGGCCGACAGAATCACGCACACACTCGGACGATGTTGATGTTGATGTTGATGTTGATGTTGACGGTATAGGGGCTCCCTTGCTGACATTTACTACCTGGACGTCGGGACTGAAGAGTAAATATCACAAAGATAAAGTATGATATTTTTGTTCTGGTACGTAAGTATTTTTTCCTTACCATTTAAACTACATTGCATGGATGTAACTATCATACATTTACCTAATCGGTTTATCTATAACGTTTAGCATACATGCTCCAATCTTACTAAACTGACCTAGCGGACACTTTTGAAGGGGAACTATTTATTAGGAGCGCTTGACTGCGTTAACCCTCTATTATATATGATAATTGTAATTCCTGGTATCTAGTGTGCCCCATAGAGTAATTGGAGTTATCTCCCTTATAGGGCCTTGATCCATGCAATTTTGCAAGTCATTCAGTAGTTTCCTACAGATATTAGCCTCTGCATGCTTAGTGCAGAAACGTCATCAAGACGGCGGCCTCCATGAAAAAAACACATGTCTGTGTGCGCTCAGACATTGATTGGATATTACACGCTGGTACAAGTGAAATTAAGTTTTATTTTTAATATTTTCCATGTTCATGGATTACCATGCATCAGTATATTATGTTATTTACACTTAAACCACTCTAGTTTAATATTAACATGTGTGACAAATGATGCGTATCATATATGATACAACCGGAAAGACGTGAATTGTAAGGGGAGATCACTCTAATATTTTTCTCTGATGATGTCTTTCAAATCTTCATTTTGTATGCTATAAATACTATATTTGTTACTGAATAATGAAATTTAAGACAATAATTATTTTCTGCTTAAACATCAGTTGAAACAAGCGTGATTTTTCGTTCACTTTGTACTTGATGTTATTGAGGATGAAGAAATCTATATAATTTTATGTGACCGCGTCTTGACAAAATAGGGTGAATGGCCAAATTTAATATTTGAGACTTTTGGTGATTTGAAATCAGCATCATCTTAATGACACACACAAAACTTTATAGAGGTACCTCACTTCCTGTTGAAGTTACAGCATGTTTTTCTGGGGGTTTTTGAAAGGCGAATGACTTTATAAATAACTGAAAATTGCTTGTGCCGCATCTGGCCCTATTTTGTCAGCCGCGGTCACATATTCATCTTTATACACATGTATACCTCAACTTATCGCCTTCCGCTGAGATATCTCCTTGTTCGTCATGGTCGTCAGCGTCGTCGTCGTATGGGTTGGTCAGTTGTTCAAACTCCCTGGGAATCCTACTGATTATTCTATGCGATACATTTGACACGTCCTTGGGCGGTGGCCCCCCTCCAGTTTTTTTAAGTTCCTTTTCGTAGTTGCGTAGTTCTCTTTTGGCAGTTAACTTTAGTCGTTTCCATAATTGCTTCAATTTATCTGTGTCAATGTTGATGCCAAAACGACCTTGAAAAGATACCTTGATTCTTCCCCATGCTGTCGATTTGTTTTTTAACGCATTGGCGTCACACCTCTTGTCTTCAATGATTGAAATATTATCCTCAATACACTGGAGAATGTACAGCTTGTGTTCCTCAGTAAAGTTTTGTATTCTAGATGCCATATTGCCTTACCTTGACGTTTGAAACGCTACTGTCATGTGCCGTCATGTACCGCCATGCAACGTATAAAACGCTGAGTCAAAACGGAAATAGGACACTGAGTATGCGCAAAAACGGTTTAATATAATGTTTGAATCATTTTTAAAGCGGAAAAACATTAAACCCCTAGTCTAGGTTTAAACCTGGTCTAAGTTAAACTTCTTTCCATAATTCGGCTCATAGGGTTTGTTGTTATCTGTGACACGTCCTCGACCCCTGACCCAATACACTGGCCAATCAAAATATCACTGACGCGAACCACACCAATGAAATCATTTATGTATGTTTAGATTGGGAAAACCCCATGTACGTACCTGCAATGTTGCCGAATGCCTCCTTTGCACGAACGGCGTCCCTTCCAACTGGAAACTGGATAAAATCCTTCGACAGTTCGGCTATTTTTACTGACACTGCCCGTATACATCTGCCCGCTGTTGATCTAGAAATGTTGAGACTGTCCCCAACCAACAGATGCATAGCGCCTGTCGCCAAAAAGCGAAGGCAGAGGAGTAGTTGCAACAGAGGTGGCAGTGAACAGTTCCGAGCTGTGTGTATGGGTAAATCCAGAAGTCCGAGCAAATATATTATTGTTGTTGGTCTAAAACCTCTCAAACACTTCATCGACTCCTAAATCTTCGAGCGGGTTCGTGCGATCTCGGAACACTCTCGGTACACGGGATGTCCGCCGAGCTTGCCGAATCTGACGCAGGTGAGCTGCCATTGTTGACATCGAACTCAGCGTTGAGCACGGTCCAGAGCATACTTGAGATCAAAGCATTTCATGCTCAAGTTGAGCACGAAAACGTACTCAGAATTTTTAATAACCTCCATTTACCGAGTCTGAGTTTTGAGTTGAGCACGAAACCCGATTTGAGCATGAGATCGTACTCAAGAAAGTTTTATAACCTCGGGGCCTGATGACCAATGGTACTACGATTTTTTCTGAAACCACATTGGATATTTGTTATAAGGTTATTGGTTTCAAGATACCAAGTTAATCTATTATTCACCATTCGTTCCATGGTTTTTACAGACAGCTGGTGAGAGATATAGGTCTGTAATTCGATGGATCTCGGCCAGGTTTTGGGTGAGTGAGTGAGTTAATATTTATCGTCACATTGGCAATATTTCAGTCATATCGTGACGAGAACAGTTTATAATTACATTAAAGATCAATAAAGTTAGAAGTTAAAAACCTGTTAACGAAGAACAGTAAAACTACTAGTGTATCAGAGATATCCATTTAAAACTAGTAATTAAATCTAAAATATTGGAACTATAAATGACAATACAATATAAAAACAGGCTATAGATTGCCAACGAGCCAAGTTTTGGTATTGGCACTACAATGGCATTACGCCATGAAGGAGGAAATTCTCCAGACGTCCATATTTGGTCAAATATATCTAAAAGTGTCATCAGACATGGTTCAGGTAAGTGTTTCAGTAGCTGGTAATGTATATTGTCATCACCCGCTGCAGTGTCATGAGCTTGCTCAAGAGCTGTATGTAGCTCATGTAATGAAAACACTTCATTATAATCTTCTCAGTTATTTGATTCGAAATTAAGTTTTGTCTTTTCCTGTTGTTTCTGATAACTCTGAAACTCAGGGACATAATTTGCCGATGAAGAAGTTTTGGCAAGAGTTTCGCCTATTTTATGTGCAATGTTAGATTTGTCAGTTATCAAATTATCACCATCTTTAAGATGTTGAACACGCGATTTTGAACATTTGCCTTTATTCTCTGAACCATCTTCCACACATTAGACATAGGCGTGCGTTAACTTATTTTGGAAACATACTTCCTCCAAGATTGCCGTTTGTTTTGTTTGAAGGTACGACGTGCCTTCGCATTAAGTATTTTAAATTTATTTAAGTTATGGACAGTTGGATGGTGACGGAAATAATGTTCTGCCATTTTCCTCGCTTTTTCTGGCTTGTCTACAATCTGTATTAAACCGTGGTTTCCGTACATGTGGAGTTGTAGAGGACTTTGGTATACACTCATCAGCTATTTTCTTTAAAACGTCAGCAAATGTCTGAATGGGATCGGTTTCGTCACTGAAGCATTCAGGTAGTAGTTTCGATTTACCCATATTTTGAAATATGGACCCTTTAGCCTTGGAAAAATTCCATCTTGTATACGATGGAGAATCAGATGGAGTAATTTCTGACAGGATAGTTGGGAAGTGGTCACTTCCACAAAGGTGATTGTGAACAGACTAATCTAATTGATTGAGGAGGTTAGAATCTGCAAGAGACAAATCCAGAGAAGAATAAGTGCCTTTGCAGGATGCAGACAGGTGCTTGAATCATCACTATGGACGTTTTACGGACACGTCCATGTCTTAAAGTGATCCGTATTTGTTAAATAATTTAATTTTATCATCTGACCCTTTGGGGGCTCTGCCACTTGGATTTTTTATGAATCTGCCCCCGATTTTTTAAGAATCTGGTCTCGGTTTGCTTTTGCTTTTGACGTTTGTGTTAGATTGAGACCTTTGAGTTGACTGACAAAAGGTGTAACGTTCATGAGATGGTTCTCCTTGGATTTGGGCCGTGACAGGAAGTGACAGTTTGTGTAGACATAGCATGTGAGAAAAATCTAAGGAGAATCGGTTTTGAGCCAAGTTAAATTCGTCTGACAGCTTACAGATGATTTGGTTATTGGAGGAGTTGATTCAGACGATGTTTTCAATGAAACACTTAACCTCTGAGGCCTATCCTATGTATTTCACAAAGTGTTTCAAGCCAATGGCAAACTGCTCGAGTAGAACAGTGAGTGAGTTAAGATTTTAAGTCACATCGGCAATATTTCAGCCATATCGTGACTGTAAACAAGTTGTTAATTCATCAGAAATACATATAAAATATAAAAACCTGCCGACGAAGGACTGTAAAATCAACTAGAATATCACAGTATCAAGGAATAAAACTAGCAACTCTGTCTAAAATTGGATTTCAAATTAGGACAACACAGTATGAAAATGGGCTATAGATCGCCAACAACTGAAGGTAGATCACCATACTAGGGACCATGGGGACTTACATTACTTTTGCTACCTGCATGGACCCTAGTTGGATCCAGTAGAACAGACTCTAGAAGATCAGTTCTATCAAAACTAGGATCTGACGTCGAGAAAAGGTCGAAAGGGCTTTATTATAAACACTTATTCCTTTATTTGATAACTATCGCCTTCTGCCTAAACAAATATATTATCCTCTCCTGAAATACAGAAGTTGTAACCATAACCTGCCTATCGAGGTTGGCCTTTGGCTGGGCATAGAGAGAGAATTTAGAAATGTAAACTGTGTATGTCGCCCGCTATAGCCGATGAATTCCACTACCTGTTTAAATGTGAAGCTTTTTGTGAATGCAAATCCAAATTTATCCCAAATAAATACATACATGTCCCTAATATAATAAAGTACAAAAAATTGTTGAGTAGTAGAATTGTAAATGAAATCAAGAGTGAGTTAATATTGAACGTCACATGGGCAATATCTCAGCCATATCGCGACGAAAACAATTTATACAATACAAAAATGAAAACATTGTGAAGAGTTAAACCTGTCGACGATGGACAGTAAAAATACTAGAGGATCACATATGTGAACATAAAACTAGCATGTAAAGCTAAAACAGTGTAATTAAAGAAGACACTACAATATAAAACGTCGCTTATAGATCGCCAACAACTGAAGGTAGATCACCATACTAGGAACCATGGGGACTTACATTACTTTTGCTACCTGCATGGAGCCAAATGAAATCAAGAACCTTGCACAATTCATCTGTATAATAGATAAGTGCCTTCGAGTGTGATTGTATACATGTGTGCAGAATTTCTAAATCGGAATTTATATTTATCTATCTATATGTACATATTCATAATTGTTTTCAGCCTCAAAGTCTTAATGTCGCCAATTATCCGTACAGTATAGCCGTCATCTTGTAATGTACAAATTATTGTTATGCTCGGAAAACCTTACTGCTGTACCACCCTGGGTGGTTCTTTTTTATGATTAATGAATTGATTGATACAATCAAACCAGCAGGTCTGTCCGTGCACATTTGTCTTTTCCGGAGCACAAAGATAGGTCTGGTGGTTGGTGTACTGGTGCCTTTGGGTAGTTTTGCATTTCTGAATAGGATATTTTTTTGCCTTTCCTTGGCAACAAGTTTGCTTAGACTGAAATTTGTGTTGGTGCGCTTTTAAACTGTTCAATATTTCTTTACCAGACTTCTCACATAAATACATTTGGTGATGAACTAGTGCCTTTTGGTAGTTTTGCCTTTCTGATTAAGATATTTGTGCGTTTCCATTGCAACAAGTTTGACTTTGACTGAAATTGGTGTTGGTGCTCTTTGGCGGAGCAGAACTAAAAAACCGTTCAATATTTGTTCACCAAACTTTTTTTATTGTGTTTTATTTTTCATTCCATTTTTACAGTTGCACATGGGGTCCAACATGCAGGGTAGAGGGCTACCTCTGTATAGAGGTTATACAGAGCATGTAGCAATGGCAATACAAAATAAATCAGTCGTTGAACAGGTTGTGACATGCCGACCAGAATTTGTAAAAAGCGTCGATTCTGGAGCATAACATTGTTACATTGTAATATTGAGTAAGCCTTTTTCACCAAACTTGACACATTGATAGGCCTGGTGGTGTACCGGTGCCTTTTAGTAGTTTTGCATTTCTGAATAAAATATTTTTTGCGTTTCCATGGCAACAAGTTTGAGTTCGATTGAAATTGGTGGTAGTGATCTTTTCCGGAACAGAACTTTAAAACCTTTCAATACTCTCCCTCCAGTTTGCAATATACATGTAGTCACTGACTTGGTTGACACATACAAATGTATCCCAATTGTGTAGATCGATGCTCATGCTGTTGATCACTGGATTATCTGCTTCAGATTGTATTATTTACACACCGCCGCCAAATATATTGCTGATTTCCAGTGAAAATACACAATGGCGTCATTCCACGTGATAATATCGCACATGTAAAATGTAACATTTTGGGCTATATTTTGGGTACAATATGTATGTGAATTTACCAATCTGAATTGACCGATCCAAATTTGACGGTGAAACTCTGAAGATTTTTTGGGTGCTTAAACGGACGAATAAAGATTTACTTAACACGTTAAAACTGCTAAGTCATGGTGACAGTGAATTATACAAGGTACTTGGATCAAGGAGGAGGTGACATTGAACAGATAACACGGCAACCGGCGGTCGATAGGCTGTCAACACACCACAGTTACAAGCGGAATACTTAAAGGTGAGGTGAGGTGAAATTGGGTTTAACGTCGTGCTGGAGAATATTTCGCTCATATGATGACGTAAACTGGTTTTATAGTGCTAGCTCACTGAGATACCATGCAGCAGTGAAGCATGAAAACCCCACTCAGACACATTATTCTGACTCCCAACCGACCAGTCCTTGTTGTACCCATTAATGCAGAGCGCCAGGCAGGGACCAACAAGTACCATATTTTAACGTCTTTTGGTATGACGCGGTCGGGGATCGAACCCGCGACTTTCTGCTCTCCGGGCGGACGCTCTAACCACTACACAACGGAGGCGC